TATATTTCTCAGTATCCTCGCAAATCTTAGTACATTTGTGAGGTGAATAACCTGAATTTTTCAATGTTTTATAATAAAATAATAATAAAAATCATCATTATCAAAAGAAATAATAATAATAATAATAATAATAATAATGATAATAATAATAATAAAATTAAGCAAATAGGCCGGACATTAATCAAAACCAGAAAGAAAAAACTTGCCTACTAATTTATGTATTTATAGCAACCAAGGAATTTGAAAAACTATCAAAATACAAAGATGGAAATTGAAATAGAAAAAATGTGGAAAAAAACAAGAATAATACCAGTGGTATTTTCTGAATTATAAAAAATGGAACAAAACAACACATTTCCTGCTTAAGAGACATACAGAAAATTGTCCCAACACTAAGGAGAACTTTGTCTATGTAACGCTAACGGTCAAAAAAAAAAAAAAAAAAAAAAATTAACATGAAATGATATTTTCCCAGACTTGAGAAATCGAATGATGATGATAATAATTTTTTAGAAAAAAAAAACACACAACTAAGGAGAACTTTGTCTATGTAAGATTACACAAAAAAAAAAAAAAAAATTTACATAACAACAAAGACCTGCCTTGGGTTTCCGCAGACTTGGTAGGTAATGTGTCCATAGAAATCGAATGATGATGATGATAATAATAATAATAATAATAACAATCATTATTATTTTATTATTATTTCTTATTATTAGTAGTATAGTAGGATATTTTCTGTTGTAGGAATTTCACTTCCCAACCAGAGACCTAAGGTCAAAATCTATGGAGCATTTTTTTAGGAAAAAAAACAACGTAAGATTACAACAAATTTTACATAGATAAACTACAATTGGTACAATCTTTTGTATTTCTTTATAATGGGATTCAGGAATCACTTATGAGTCTCTTGGAACATTTTTTCGATATCCAACTTCAATTGGAATTAATAATGTTCTCATGTGTTTCTTTTTCGATATCCACTTCACGATCCTTGTATTTTGATAGTTTTTGAAAAATCTTCAAAGGTACATTACAATCTGCAGGGACTGCCATGTCAATAAGAAAGCTCATTCTGTTTTTGTAATCTTGATCTCTGGGCGATTAGCCTTGATTGTTCTGTCTGTGTGTATTGTAAAGTCCCATAAAAATTCTTAAAGCTCCTATCTCTGTAACCGGGTTTGAGTGATGTTGATACTAATTTCTTGCAGTTTCCTTCCGGCAAAAGTTGCATATTTTTCAATTTAGTTATTAGCCCACACTATCATGCCGAGTCTTATATTCAATGTCTGCTAACACTTTGCAACCTGATCCATGGTGGTCAGTTGTTTCTGGATATTTATCAGAGAATCTGCATTTCGGATCAATATAGTTTTTAAGTATATGTCCTTGGCAATTTTTAGTTAGAAAGCAATGCTTTTGTGCAGCAAAAATAAAACCTTCGGTTTCAGCTTTTAACCCTGCATTTCGTAACTACAGGGTTTGTCTACATCTGATTGTTTGGTACCAGCAGAATATTGACCATGAAGAGGCATATCTTGCCATCGTTTCTGCATTTGGTATATAGCATTTGTTTTTACTTTCTCTTTTTGGCTATTTTCCGCTGCGGCAGGTATATTATGATTTATTTTCACTTCTTCACCAACTTGAATTTTTCTTTTGAATTTGTTGGTTTTCTTTATTACTGAATAAAATTTCTTCTTATTTCTTTCATGTTATTTGATACAGATCATTATCCAGTCTTCTGTAGTTTCGAAATATCTTTGAAAACCAATTGTTGTGGTTTTCTCTGATAGTTCTAGTTGAAGTAATCCTCTGCTTCCTTCGGATCTGGACACATACAGACGATCAACATCAGCCTTGGGACAATATCTGCGGTAGAAAGTGATAAGCTTTCTCGTTTTGATATGTATTCACTTAATGTCAGCTATAGTTCAGTTAAGGATGTTGAAGTTGTATTGCACTACAGGGGCAACCAAAGTGTTTATGGCTGATATTCTGTTTTGAGAATTCAACTCGGTATTTAACACCAGACGCACACTCTTGTAGTATTCTTTTCTAACTTTCTTTTTTATTTGGGTATGCTCTATTCCATATCCTTCGTTGACTTCTAAGTAATTATAGGCTTCTCCTTCTTCCAGTCCCCTAATCTTTGAGGCAAAATCTAGATCTATTGAATGTGTTTCTGTAATTCTCTCTTTCTTGAATGTTACGTTTAGACAATTATCTAATCCGAAATCCATACCGACGTTATCACTTCAACATTTTACAATATTGAGGATACCCTTCAATTCATTGTCGTTTTTGGAATATGTAGAATAGGTAATGAAACATTTTCTTTTTTACTTTGTATCCATTTATTACTGCTTAGCTCATGCTAAAGAAGGATTAAGAACAGACAGAACAGAAGGGCAGATAGGGAGTGTCCTTGAAATATTCCTCCTCGGATATTCAAACAAATGGAAGTGGCAGTGCCTTTAGTATGATTTATGTGGTTTTCCACAGTCCCAGGCTATATTTAAGGAAATTTACTATAAACATGGAGAGTTTGTACATTTCCAAAGCGTTAAGGATCCAAGAGGGTCTATTATGTTTTATCATAAGCTGTTCCAAGCGTCGTATAATGGCTTTAGCTTTCAAAAACTGTCCAACATTTGGATATTTCTTTGGATATTTCTTTATTATAATGGTCGTCGATCTAAGTTTTCGACATGAGCCATCATCAGATGTGGTTATATGGATATAACAACAGAGATGTGCACCGTCAAAGATAACATCATGTTTTGTTTACATCGAAGTTTGCTATGCGACGATAACAGTCGCGAAATAGCAGACGCAGGTCGTAAATTCATGATGCGGTTCTATGACGTGGTACAAGATCAGGTCATAGAAAGAAATGTTATCAACAGCGCCATATGTTTAAATGCATTGTAATATATTGAGACTGGTTTGAAATATATTTTTGTTGAGTGTGGTTTGCTATGTATATGTATATATTAGTGTTTTGAATTTTAATACTATTAGTTAATTGTTGTCACGCTATCATCTACATTGCTGCTATAACAAAAACAATAACTGCACTTCTATCTTCACTTAAACTGTTAATAATAAGTAAAATATTTCAGATGCCATTATTATTGATTATGATAATGATCCTAAACTCTATGACACTTACTACAACTATCACATATTATACTAGTAGAAGATTAGTGAAAACAATAATGGCAAGAACTCTTATCCTAGAAAACAATAAAAATCGTGAGTTTTCTAAAATCTGGGCAGATTAAAACCGTTGAATATAAATGCAACTCAAAAGAGTGTGCTGCTTAATACGGCATTGGAAATTGAAACAAATATGCACAGTTACTATTTACAACATTTCTTTCAACCTTTTTCATAAAAGGTGTTCGAATTAAATATAATAGACACAACTAGTCATTGTTAACAATCCACTGGGATTTATGCAAGTGCTTAAGTCCGACTATGCAGACAAACCGTTTCAGCACAAATTAGTTACCACTTTTTGCGATTCAGACAGAACATCCTAGCCAATCTCCATCTCCAAGACTTAGACACTCTAATAATATAATAAACAGATTTAGAAGATGAAAAGAAAATCTGAAAGAAATTGAAAAGCTGGATAGACATCAGATGTAGAGAATGAAGAAATACTTGGAGGACTTGAAAACAAGTCTTGCAAACTGTTACAAAAAGAGGGAAAGAATTGGAGACATGAGGAATAATTAAACCTACCCCAATACAGTAGTATCAAAATCAGTAAGAATTGATGTGGAATTGATGGCTACTGTTTGAATTTTGAAACCTGGAATTGCTTGCATCGCAAGGAAAATAAAGAAATACCATTCATGTGGAGAGTGTCAAAATTATGATAATTATCATAATAATAATTAGTGATATGATTGTGGTGATTATCTATAGTATTAATCTTAAGAACGGCAATAATAATTATGATAATGTTCATGATAATAAGATTAGTAGCTTGAAAAGGAAAAAAGAATGTTAGGGATAAAAATACGACGAAACAAAAGAATCAATGAAAAGAAAAGTTCTTTTTTTAACAAGTTATTCTTGAGTTTCCTCCATATAAAATGCATCACTTTTTCGAAATGTTTTCATTTTCTTTCTCGTGCGAACATCACCGGACTCAAATTAATATTCAAACAAATTCTCTGTTACTATTATAGGCGCCAAAGTTACTATTATTACTAATAATAATTATAAAAGGGAATACTGAAAATTCTGGTCCAAAGCGATAAGAGATTAAAAAATATTTGGTCTTTGGTTCAGAATTTGCTAAGTGGGTCGAGCCTAGAGCTTTTCAGCACCACCTAATAATAAACAATCTACTTCTGTCTTTTCTTATTAACAATCATTATTTTCGTTTATTCCCTATGTTCCAGCTAGCCATTCCTAACTCTTTCACTTTTTTCTTTCTACTTCCAACCTCGTACAATATCCTCTAAAGTCTTACCTACCACCCATATATCAACTCCATTATAGAACTTTCCCTCTCTTCTGTTCCTGTTTTTCTGGCTGTCATTTTGTTTGCCTTTTTCTACTAGCTTCATCAGTCATAATGGGAATAGCAAGGCGACCACTGTCCACGCGGGGGCAGTCGTGGTAGTTCCGGTAATAGAAAAATCCACCACGACTACTTCCGTCCCATCAACACCATCCTGTACATCTACAACCGCCACCCCTTCACCGACTATCATTATGGTCACTTCGGACCCCCTCCTCCTATCCTGTCCTTAACGATAGATTTGACCATTACTCTTAGAGTCCACTCTGCTAGTAATATTATGGCCGAAGGCGTCTTTCCCCCCGGGAGATGTGGCGGTCTGCAGAACAGCGACTTTATAGGGATATAATTGACTACGACCACGCAGTCGCCGACACATCCACATTCATATTTATATGTGCATCTACACACACAGGCGCATGTGATGAAGGAAGTCAGAACACACGGGATGACAGTATTAGAGGTGGAAGAAAGGAAAATTTGGTGGAAGAATTTCTGTGCTGATTGGGGTGGGGCGATAAAGCGAAGACATAAGATTCGGGTGTCGGTTTGGACACGGAACCTTGGTCGAATTTGATAGATATGCACAGACAGAGTTAATTTCTAAACATACAGAGAGAGACAAATATATATGCATATAGATAGATAGATAGATAGATAGATAGATAGATACTGGGATAGCTTCGTAATATTTTGACAGCTTAACGTGTCATAAAATCAAATCAAATTAGAAAGGAAAATATGTTGCAAGACACACAATTAAAACTCAAGGAATAGACATTTGCTTAAATGAAACTTTTATATACATACATATCTGATCAGAAAAGATTGTTATAGATAAATAAATATCGAATGATACTATTTATTCCTGCCCAATTTTATTTGTTGCTAATAAGGTCATAAATTTCCCATTTTCTTTAGTTTTTTTAAAACTCATGTTATGCAGATGCCATTCCCATTTGCCAAAACTTTGTTCGTTACAAATCTATATTTCCTGTTAGAATTGTTATATCTTCTTTTCACTTAAGTATTCTGAGATTTTTAAACTTTGGAAATGTTACATTGGCCGTTTCGATATTACAAGACAACATTCGGTCGAATCTGTCAGACAAGTGGCATCCGTGAAGCTAATATACAAAAACAAAAAGTCAAATCTTCAACCTCATCAATCCTATATTTTTAACACGGTTAATGCTCAAATAGGATGTGCAGGTAGTGTAAGGAATATCGTTGCGGAAAATGAAATCGGACAAACCGAGTTCAAATTCCGAGCTCGTCCGTTGTGTTCACTTTCGTGCTACGTCCTTGAGAAAGATATGGACCCGTATCTTATCCCCACTTTAAAACATGAGATTAAATAGCAATGTAGACTGAGCGCTCTAGACCTAAGTGGCAACCCATCGAAGAGAAGGATATCTCTATGTTCCAAACCGTGAAGAAAATCGTGTGGAAAATACTGTACAATATTTCTCAATATTTTCATGCACAGTAATTCACAGATAATAAAAGAAAAAATGATCTGTAAAGAATTATTATCAGCTACTTCCTAAAGACACATGGAATTAACAAGTGTTCAAATTTATAATATTAAGCAATTTTTTATTATCCACACAAACAAGCACACACATTCCGTCAAGTACATACAGATACACACATATATACAGTGAAAAAATGGGATGTTGTTTATATTCACCGTGTTATTTTATTTGGGACACTAATATTCGAAGAATTCTTCTTGGTACTCTTCGTTCCTGAATTAGGAATGCACAAGTCTTACCGACTGCAACTGGAGATTAAAGTAGGGAGCAAAGACCAAACGAAGTTTTCATGTTGAGTCACACATGGAAATATTAGTTCGAATGTGGTCGAACTGCTGTGACCAATTAGACGATGTCCAAGACGGCCTTTCTCCAGCCAACGAAACGTGAACAGTAGCTCCAACCCCGACCAATGACACTGGGAAATCTCGTTGAATGCATTATGACCATGGGGTGCGTCGTATTTACATTAAAAACTTCGGAGCCAAAGAGCCTGAATCATAATATTCGGGGTTCTTTGCGACATGTCGGTCTTGTGTTCATAGGTCAAGAGGCACTGGGAAAGTTGCGAATTGAGACGGGATGCAAATAAAGAAAGGTGCATAGAAAATAGACAGGCACCGACCAGTGATGAGAGGGGAAATATGAAGGAGAGAGCAGGGAAAAGAAATAAGAATAAAAGTATTGAAGAAATGGGAGAGGAGGAAACATTTAAGAGGGCGATAGAAGCGAGAAAAATCGGAGAAAAAACGGGTTAGAGTAGAAAATTTGATACTCTTGAAGAAAAAAGTATGACTGGAAATAGTTATGCGGAGAGAAATGGAAAAGAAGAATAAACAGCGTGAAAGATAATCAGAGAAAGAGATATAATTGAAAACTGAAAAGAGTGCGAGAGAAAGAGCATATATATTTAATGACAAAAAGTATTTAAAACGAGGTAAAAAAAGACTTATATAATTTATAACAAGAAGAAAGAGATAGAGAGAGCGAGCGAGAGAGAGAGAGAGAGAGAGAGAGAGAGAGAGAGAGACGTCAAGACGAAAAGAAAAAGATGATGTGAAATGGTGGTGATGAAAAATAATTAAAAGTAAGACAAATAATAAAAATGAATAGTATTGAAAGTAAGCAAAGGAAATGAAAGCAGTAAGAGTTTAATCAGAATAGTAAGAGAGAAAAGCGGGAGAAAAGAAAAAAGCAAGCGGGGAGACGAGAAAGAGAGGGAGATGAGAAATCAAATTGTGAGACACAGGAAAATAAAAAAAATTACATTTAAAAAATATCAAGGGACTTGGTAAGGGAAAAAATCCAGAAAACGGGAAAAGAAAGAAAGAAAGAAAGAAAGAAAGGGGAGAGATAAAGTGAACGTCAATTGCCAAATGCAGGGTGATTGAAATGTTTGAAGAGAGCAAAAAAGAAGAAGAAAGAAAGAAAAGAGTAAGTTATATTTTGTAAGTAAAGAAAATCCAAGAGAAAGAAAATACGATTAAAATAAAGACTAGGAACTGATTTCAATTTGCTACAAACAAATATTATCTACAAAGAGAAAATAGGAGAAATGGGAAAGAAGGAGTTGCAAAAAAAAAGATACGCTCAAAATAAGATTTAAAAAATAAAATTAGTTCTCTAAAAGACAGAAGATTTAAAATTAGATTAGAAATAAAAGTTATACATTAGAAAGAAAGAGAGGAAAAAGGAAAGAAAGAAGAAAAAAAAGGTAAAGGAATAACTAATGAAGGAAAGAGGCAATAAAAATCAAAAAGAAAAGATGACAGTGAAAAAAGAAACGTGAAGGAAATGAAGGAAAAAATAAAGGGATAAAAAAATAAAGCATTAATTTCAAAGAAGTGTAGAATAAAGACTTGATATATATATATATATATATATATATATATATATATATATATATATATATATATATATACAGAGAGAGAGAGAGAGAGAGAGAGAGAGAGGTAGATAGATAGATACTTGCATACATAAAATAATACAGCGATCTAGCAACATAGATATAGATCGTGAAAGTGGAGGACGAAGCAAAAAATGCAATCTCACACAAGACCTGGTTGTGCTCGCGATATTAATGATGATAACCTTCAGTAGAAAGCGTCAATCAGTGAAAAAGGCGTCCTCGGCTTGAAGAATCTATTGTAGGGTTGTGTAGAAACCTAATCCTCTCTTTGGAGGCTTTCACCTCTTGCTTGGACCTGGAGCGGATGGCGACTTGGTAAATACACAGCCGCCGGGGATGACCGGTCAGAAATGGACGATTGCCGCGGGGTAAGAAACGCTCACCATTTTTGATCTCGGATCAGGCAAAATTCCCAACCTTCCAACCTAAAACTCCGAAATGATACTTAAGTCGACAAGGTATTACACTCCTTCTCTCCTTTCTTTTTCTCTCAATCACTGAACTCTTACAGTGTTTCATTCTCTCTTTGTCTCTCTCTGTTTCATACATACACACCCACAGCCACAAATATATGTATTCACTTTCGTTTTGCACATACATACTTATGTATGTACAAGCCTGATTCAAAAATATGTCGTCACACTTAAATGAATACATTTCCGCATATATGTACGGAGGTAAATATGTATTTTGAAGATTATATAACAAATCTATAGGTTTAGTGTATACCTATCTCTATAAACACAGACACATAAACAAACTTGTTCTTGCTGATATATATATATATATATATATATATATATATATATATATATATCTCTCTCTCTATATATATATATATATATATATATATACATACATACATACATACATATATATATATATATATATATATATATATATATATATATATATATATATATATATATATATATATACATATATATATATATATATATATATATATATATATATATATATATGTATGTATGTATGTATGTAGCTGATCATTCAAGTATTTCAGGTATTACCGTTCAAGTCCCAAAATATGCGTATAAACATCAATTTACACAAGTCAAAAATATTTGAAGGCAATATCTATTGACATTAATAATGCTCTCGGTAAGAACACAGAATTCTGATCAGGAGAAAATAAATGGAACTCTGATAAAAATTCTCACAGCAAATAAAAAATATCATTTTATTTTGTTTAAGTTCTATATTATAGGCTTAAAATATATGGATTGTTTCTGTCTTGGAGCAAGTGCTTGCATTTCCGCTTGTCGTAAAGAATGGCAGATTTCAATTCCTTGCTGATTAGGACAATGAAACTGACATTAAAAATCTTTCATTTGTATATAAATAGATAAATACTCTCTGATTATTACCGAAGAGCCATGAATGCTGTCTCTACGTAACTTTTCGTAATAGAAGCAATGACGCAGCGGAAAAAAAATGAACCGGGACATTTAGTTCTATTTGTGATAGTTTGTTTCAGATACTTTTTTTATGTGAGTAAAGATTTCAAATGAATTAACTTCAAAGTAACCACCGTATCCCGTTTAGTGAAATTCCCTAAAACAGCGTTAACTTTTTGCTAACCGGGAAAAGAATTTAAGTAATGATTTACAGAACCAGATCCTTATGCTATTAAAAAGTAGTTTTTAAAAAAGCCCCCACAACTTGCATCTGTGCATTCAGTGACTCATTCAATGTTATACTGAAAAAAAAACAAAACAAAAAACACCAAAATTAAGATACAGAAAGATTTCTTCCCGATATGCAAATCGTGAATTTTATTGATTTGAAATCCTAATTTAAAGTTTGTAATGCGCAACACATAAGTCGACGCATTCAAGTTGTTTCGCAGTATATGGTAAAGGAAATTCGGGGAGGAGATTTAGGTGGATTCAAAGAACTCACAGAAGCTGAATACATAAAGCTGGTAATAATTAGACATTTCCTCGTAAAATAAAGGTTTTTCTAACTTCATTATAAAATGAGAGCTTATATCTCAACCTTAGTGTTGATTGACAACGTAGAAAATTTTTGTGTGGAGAAATATATGAGCATTAGAGTAAAAAAACTAGCATCCGGATGAAAATATGTCAACATAAAATAGAAAGATAGAATAATAGATGAAAATATGTGTGAAACTCTTCCTGGGAGACATGGAAACAATATTCACATGCCATTTTCAGTTGTTCGTCAAGAAGAAATTTTGAAAATACAATGTTAAAAGTTCAAAACAAGTATTCAAGTCAAATTCCGTAGTGGTTTTTTATATATCAGCTTTCCGTTACTAAGTTAGGCCAATTCAAAATTATATATTAATTCATTAACTGACGCTCACAGAACCACACAGTTCCATCAATGGCTCGTTTCTGCATATATACAAAACCATGAAACCATTCCAAAAAATAAACGAAAAATTCTGATATTTGGTTATTTGGTCAGATCTTTGGAAGTGGTTCGGCTCGATAGATTTTCAGCAACCATTTGTATTCTAATTCTCCAAAGGAAAGTTCAGATATCATTGCACATTTCTTTCCAGTTCTTCTTCTTCTTCTTCTTCTTCTTCTTCTTCTTCTTCTTCTTCTTCTTCTTCTTGTGTCCCTTCAGGATATGACTCTCCACAATTAATTTTTTTCTTTTTCTTATTTCTCTTGAACCTTTTTCTACCATCCACTTAATCTCTCTAAAGAGGTTGTCTTTTGTTTTCCTCAGTCCCCAGACAGGGGTCTTCATAATATGACCTATAAATTTCATCTGTGTATTTCTGATATTAAGTATAAGTGTCCTTTTTGTTTTCATTTTCTCTAAAACTTCTTCATTGCTCACATGTTCGGTCCATGATATCCTCAGCATCCTTCTGTATAACAACATTTCTGTTGCTTCAAATCTCTTCTTAATCTCAGAAGAGATTTTCAGCTCTCACTACTATATAGAAGGACATATATCACGTAACAGTTTAGTATTCTTTTCCTTATTTAAAATCCGAAAAACATTTCGTTCTAAACGTTATGATAATGAAACAACATTTTTTTCTATTTCTTAGTACTCTGCTTAGCTTTTGGAATACATCTTTAGCTATCCCAGTACGCCTTCGGATTTCATTCAGTGTTAAATTTCCCGTCCTCTATTAAAATACTTCCCAGATATTTAAATTTTTGTACTTGTTGGACAGTTTGTCTCGATAACAACCATGCATTTGTTTATTCAATTAGAAATATATAAACTGATTCTGTGCCATTCAAAGCTAACCGAGAAAAATATCTCAGTACAATTTTCTATATTGTCCACTTCAAAGACTTAACGGACGGTAACGGAAGGAATATGTTTGCCAGCATCCGATTGAATTGATTTATTCTTGTTAGAATGGTGATAGAGATATATTTGTTTTGTTTTATAGAATATCGTACATATCTAACTTTTTTTCTGTGAATATAATCGTCCGAGAAATAGTTGTTTTGCGGATACTGAATAAAAACCGTATTTTTATATTAATATAAAAAACAGAAGTTGAAAACCGATAAAAATCATTCTGGAATATAATTTTTGATCAAGGCTTAAAAGTCGTTGTAACTGCAGGGGAGCCTTGAATAAAATGTTATAAATCAAAGTCTTAAAAAAGTTAGAAACACCAAGGTAAAAATATATATTTTGTTATTTTATATATATATAATAACATGACTGGCTTCTTCAAAAAATTGTTTAATAAAATTATGATGTCTATAATGATGAAATCGAATCCATTAAATTCCACAAATCTGTAGATGTTAATTACCGAAGTTACCTCTACCTGAATATAAAAACAGTAACAATCCCACAATTTCACAAATTCCTAATTCTGTGTTTCAATTATTTTAAACAATAACCAAATTGACCATACGAAGTACATATAGCGTTAATTATATTTGAAATATTGAGATCACATAAATCTATTCATAGCAACCTTGATTCTTTAAATGTTATAATATTTCTTACTCATGCCCTCGTCGAAAAAGTGTAGACATAATAATGGAAAGTGTATATAAACCTCCCTCTTAATATTAAACCAACAATTGTACGTAAGACTTTTACAATTACAATTAACTTAAACAATTACTTTTCTATAACTGTCAGAGGAACATCTATATATAGAGTGATGGCGCAGATATAATTCTAATTTACCTAATTTATATATGACATATGTAGAAAACAAATATTTCCTCAATTTTTCCAAACATGTGATTCTTGTCAGATATATTGATGATATATTCATCTTACGAGAAAAACTAAATTAAATAAAAAAATTAAAATAAACTTTGAATAAAACCCTGTTCTAAATTTTACTTATGAACTTTCTTTGATAATTTAGTAAACTCTAACAAACATAATTTTCAACTTTTGCAAAAGAAAATTAAGTAGAAATATTGTTTTAGTTGTGAAAGCCATGTAAAAACCATTTAAACTAATTTATCATACCAGTTATTTTATAAAGAACAGATTAAAATAAACCAAATGCTTAACAATAGTCTCCCAAAACATGTTGTTGAGCAATTAAATGAAATTTAAAGAAAAATTATTACGCAGAAAACCCTCATATAAACAAAGTATAAACAGAATAATTAAATTATAAACAAGATGAAAAACCCCTTAAAAATAAAAATATTGAGTAAATACCAATTCACGATTGCAAAGATTACTTGCGATTTATCATTCATTATAAAAAATTAAAACGTTCAATTTAATAATAATTAATAATATGGCACTTCAAAAAAACTTCTCTTGCAGATTAATTTGTCATTTATTAAAACTTTGTACAGTTTTTACACACATCGATCAACACATGAAACCAGAATATGTTAATATTTGACAAGTATTAGTAAAGTTTACTAAAATACTATAAAGTTCTAATTGTTAATAAGAATGACAAATAGAACAGACACTCTAAGCTAATATACTACAAAAGAAAAAAAAAACTTACATTAAACACAATATCTTTGACTACTAAGGTAGGTATATTCAAAAGTATATAAATTAAAAGAATGCTAATAATATCTTGATTCTCAAGCACTTTCAAGTGA